TGGTTGGTTGGTTGGTTGGTTGGTTGGTTGGTTGGTTGGTTGGTTGGTTGGTTGTTTAGTTAGTTAGTTAGTTAGTTAGTTAGTTAGTTAGTTAGTTAGTTAGTTAGTTAGTTGGAAGGAGTTTTTAAAACAGTGATGTCTACATATTGAAATCACACAAGGAGCTTTAAGTATCAGTGTTTAAGTACAACCTAGGTACAGCAAAGATACAACCCTGGGCACTCTTTCCAGGATTTAATCTATCCAGTAAGTTTCTTTTAAGTTCTCCAGAGTACTAGGATGTTTAGCCACATTTGAGAACCACTATTTGGTAAGAAACTTACCAAATAATGGTAAGGATTTTTTTTTTTCTATCCTTCAAGTTGTATTCTTTTTGAGATTGTTACTGCCCTGAAAAAAATTCATTGTACAACATGAATATTATTTTTCAAGTAATGCTTAGATAGCCAACCTGTTGTTGAATGAAAGAGGAAATAGACATATTTTCTGTGTTTACATTTCTGCCTTCTATAGTCTCACACATCCCCTAAGAAATAAAATAATTATGTCCCTGTTCTGTACAAAAGCTTTTAATTCTTTCCTTTTAGATTAAACTGTAAGTTCCTCATCTGTCCCAATGTGTTTTCAGTTTTAACCCGTTATTCAGTGCTAGAATCTAAAAGCCATGCATACTCATCAACTCTTCCATCGGGCTCTTTTTTTCATACCTGCTTATATTTATGCCTTTTCCTTTTGCTAATGTTGTTTTTTGTAGTTCTGCTATTATGATGAAATATCTGAGAAAAAGGAGAACAGACTTACTCTTGCTCAGTTTCAGAGGTTTCAGACCCCAGAGTATCAAGGCCTGTGGTGGCACAGAATTGTGTTGGGAGCATGTCATAGAGGAATTTTGTTTACCTCAAGATCACAGGGAAGCAAAAAGACTGAAGAAAGGACTAGGGTTTCAGTGTCTTCTTTAGAAGCATGTTCCCCAATGTCATAATTCTCTTATAGTAGTTTCACAGACTGAGGACGTAGCAAATGGGTCTTTTGGGGGACAGTCACATCCCAGCAACAGTAGTTTAACAATACATACAGAAAGATTACTTTGTAGGATAGAATATTCTAGCAGTGAACCCTTTAAACAAGGTGTGTTGTAGATACTTTATATAAACTTTCTCTTATAGTCTTTATACCTGTGTCTAAGAAATAGTCACTTTCTTTACCATACAGATGGAAACTTGACATTTTCAGGGGGTAGAAACTTGCATAGAAGTAGTATTAGCAAATACGGTATTTCACATTTCAGATGTAGTTTTTATTTCTTTGCTTTTACCTTCCCACCTTACGTTGGCTATTTGATGGTCATCGTGACTTCTTTCTACATGTAGTGTGTATAAACATTTGAAGTTTTCAGTCTTGCTTTGATTCCTTTATAAAAAAAAAATTTAATGACTTTAAAAAGTAGGATAATCATCATCTCCATTTCTGCTGTCTGACCAATTTTATTAGTTTGCTGTAATTATCTGAACATCAATAAGCTATATAGTTATATGTACATTTATATCTTAAGTTTTTTTATAAGTAATTTTCCCCAACTGTTTTCACTTCTCTCAAACTGTAACTGAAGACCTGCAATTCTTAATTGACGAAAATTTCTTCTTCTCCTTCTTCTTTCTTCTTTCTTCTTCGTGAACCACAGGCTGACTTAGTAATACCTATGTATAATTAACTGGGTTGGGTTTTAGTTGGGATTTTTTAAAGGAATAGACAGAATGAGAGTAAGAGAGAGAGAGATTTAGTAGAATTGTTTACAGGCTGTAGTCCTAGTAGCCCAATGATGGGTTACCTTTTGGCCTTCTAAATGGTCAAGAATTAATTGCTCAGTCGGTGAGCCTGGGGGCTCAGTAGTTCCAGTCTGGTGCTGGAGGTTCTGCAATATTCCAGAGAGCTATTGGTCTCCCATCCAAATTTTAAAGAAGTGGGTTTTAATACCTGCAGATGAATGTCTCAGCAACAGGAGAGATGGACTTGCCGGCAAGAGTGAAGATGAGTGTGCAAAAAGCAAAAGCTTCCTTCTTCTAGGCTGCTGCCAGAAGGAGTGGCCCAGGTTATGGGTGTGTCTGCTCACCTCAAATGATCCAGTCAAGAAAATTCTGCACAGGTGTGCTCAGCTGCTTGGAGTGGTAGTTGATTCTTGATATCATCAGGTTAGCAACCAAGATTAGCCATCATGGAATGTAATTTTATACAGCCATAAAACTCAGTGCAGCTGATTCCTGCTCAAGTGAAAAGAAAAGCTTATATATGGAGACGACTTTTCTAGGTAGTGTTCAGCTGTACAAGCTTATAGTCTTTGTATGGGAGAGTGGTAAATTTTGCAGGATGTAATATTGTTTATTCCTTCACCTGTGTCCCAGATGTTATTAACATTTCTAATTGTCTCTTTAGGATGCTGCTTTGTAATTACTGTGTTATAGTCTAATTTGATAACTTCTCTTTCATTAGAATGTGAAACATGTTGTAGAAGTATTCAAGAAGTGGCTGAAGGAAGGAAGGAAGTGCCACTGCCTATCAGAAAATAAAACATGGGAAATACAACCACCAAATTCCGCAAAGCACTCATCAATGGTGATGAAAACCTGGCTTGCCAAATATATGAAAATAATCCTCAGCTAAAAGAATCCCTTGATCCAAATATATCCTATGGAGAGCCCTATCAGCACAACACTCCCTTACACTATGCTGCTAGACATGGAATGAATAGAATATTAGGGTAAGTATCACTTCGAAGCCATTGATACGTAGTCAGTGAAAAGGAAAATACTTGGGATCTTTGAAAATGTATAATACTGACACATATCCATGTTATATGATCTATCCTGAGTTCTAACAGTGAAGGGAATGCACACACCTTGTTGCTTTGAATATATTTCCATCCAGAGTGTAATGTAGAAAATAGATTACAGAGGAAAGATGAGTATTCTCAAGGGTAGAGTGGACAGTAGCCAAAGGGACCATTGCAGAGCAGTATGAAAGTGGTTCAGGAGATTAAGAATGATTCAAAGATACTTAGCATTAGAAGTGAAAGTAAAGACCATCAGTAGTACACAAGGGACAATCCCCTTCTCATTACCAGAAACTTATACAACTAAGAACTGAAACTACAGGATTCTGATTACTGGAACTGAGATCTGAGTCACGTCTTAGCTCTGGTATGACATTCTGAACTCCCTGAGATGTCAATAATAGATAGCTGTCCTAACATAAAATTATCAGCTAGGCGAAGGCTTTCTGTTTTGAAAGAGAAAAGTGACACACAGCACCCGCTCACCTAAGACTCAATCCAAATGGATCTGTCAGTCATCTGGCCAAGAAAACCTTTCTCAAGAAAAGCTGTCTGTTAAAGAGACTTAAGAAATAAGCAGAAGATGCCTAAGATACAGAATAGGCACAGTGACTCTGGTCATTGTTCATGCTCACCCTTTAGGAGTATACACTTTCTGCATTGGTTTCTTTGGGTCCTTAACTGCCTGCTGGCCCTTTAGGAGGAAAGAGGCCTCATGGGCTCTTCACCCATCCATAATAAAATACTGAATGACCCAATCTTGTGCAGATCATGTGCAGATCACCACAGCTTTAGTGAGGTGAGTGCATGCAACAGTAGCTTTGTCCTGTCACACCTTTTGCTGCACATCTCCTTCTCTGACTCTTGCATTCTTTTCACCCCCTCTTCTGTGATTTCTCATACCCTAATTAAGGCTGAGCACTCTCTTGTCACTTATTTTCTGCATTTTGGCCAGTTGTGGCTTCATTAATTGGTGCCCACTGCAATACAGCAGTATTTTCAAATGGTGAATGAGAGCTGAGACTCTAAGCTGACATATTCTCAAAAACTAATTAAATCTTTCAAGTAAAACAACTGCTAGTCTTTGATGCTAATGATAAATTTTGATCTTCCAAGTGAATGCTAAAATTTTGAAAAACTCATTCTTTAAATTCAACTTGACAACTTCCCAGCTTACTTTCTAAAAAATTGGTAAAAGATGAAAAGTAATGTAATTGATTATATAAAAAAGTCAACATTTATAGGGTCTTGATAACTTAGTGGATAAATATATTTCACATTGGTATATGATCCTTTAAAATTCTGCATTGATTAAAAAATTTAAAATGTCACTACCACTTGTTAGATACTTTAGTGCAGTGCCACTATTTGAAAAGGCAATTTAAAATGACCTCTCCATTTCTTAAGCTATATAAGTCTAGATTTTGTTCATATACTGTACCCAAACCAAAGTACGTTAAGACAGAGCGAGTCCTTTGAAATTCACCTGGGGGTTCTCGAACTAAACGTATGGACACAAGTTCCTATTCCTAACCCAGAAGCAATTTCCAATTGATAATCATTTGCAAATGAAAATTTAGTTTCCCTCCAGAGACTCCAAAGTACTCCTAAGGGCAGGCAGCATAGCCAGCAGTAGATGGCCAACAGAAATAGAAACTCAGCAGTATCTTTGGGTTTGGGTTTTGGTTTTGGTTTTTTTGTTTGTTTGTTTGTTTGTTTGTTTGTTTGCCTCATAATGTCTTCTCAGGCTTTTTTATTTTTAATATTTTATTTCTAGTTTTTTTAAGTACTCTTTTGCTTTGTAACAGCCTCTGCTCCCTCCTTTTTTCTCCTTTCTTGTGTTCTTTTCTTTCCCCTTTTCTTTTAATAGTCTCATATATTTTATAGACACTCATGTTCATTTTTTCTTGTGTATGATTCATGCACACGAGTGCATTCATACATGTGCTACCAATAATGATGGAGTTCAGAGGACAACTTTGAAGAGTCAGTTCTGTCCTACATGAGTTCTATGAATGAAACTCAGATTGTCAGGCTTGTCTGGCCATCACTGTACCTTCTAAGCCATTTTGCTGCTCCCAGTTTTTGTTTTGTTTTGTTTCATTATTAGTTTTGTTGTTGTTGTTGTTGTTGTAGCCTCCTCCCTCTAGATTCTCTATCCCACCCTCTCTCCCACTTCCCTCCCTATGTCCCTTCCCTAGTCCACTGATAGGGGGCGGATCCTCCTCCCCTTCTGTCTGACCCTGGCCTATCAGAACTGTCTGGATCCTCTTTCTCTGTGGCCTCCTAAGGCCACCTTGCCAGGGGGAAGTAATCCAGTTTTCTTAATTGAATGAATTAGTCATTCAAAAACTTCAATAGAAATTGGATTTTTAGCTTTGAAGTAGGCATTACCTTTAAAAATGTTATCTTTACTGTATTTTTAGATAGGAAAAAGTTGTTTTTATCCTTCCTTTCCATTTTAGGACTTTTCTTTTTGGTAGAGATGGAAACCCAAATAAACGGAATGTGCACAATGAAACATCTATGCATTTGTTGTGTATGGGACCTCAAATCATGATATCTGAAGGAACCCTTCATCCTCGCTTAGCACGCCCTGTGGAAGATGATTTCAGAAGGGCAGATTGTCTGCAGATGATCTTAAGATGGAAAGGAGCAAAACTTGACCAGGGTGAATATGAGAGAGCAGCTATTGATGCTGTTGATAACAAAAAAAACACACCCCTTCACTATGCTGCAGCCTCAGGGATGAAAGCCTGTGTAGAGGTAAAACCTGGTTTCTTTTCAGTGTTCTGTGCTAGAAAATTGGTGTGTTGATAATATGTGGTGGTCATTTTGGTTTTTAGTAATTCTTACCTCTCTATTCTAAAAGAACCAAAGTGCTTTATAAGTAATATTACATTGTATTAGGGAACAACAACAACAAAGTGCAGCTTTCCAATATTTCGGAATATAATGCACTTATGATCAGTAACAATAATTGTTACCATCTCCTAAAATAACAGCTGAGAACTGTCATACTGAAAATAGTAGGAGTTTTTTGTTGTTTTGTTTGTTTGTTGTTTTGCTGAAATTTAATAGACAACGTATAAAACATATATCTTGGATGTAGGGAGAAATAAGTACAACCTGTTGATGTATCATCTTCGCTTGATTTGTTTATTAAATAGGTAACTGTAAATGGATGCATTTGTTATATTCCTTTTTAAAACTTCGTTTTTAAAATATCTCTTTTTTTCTGTTGAATCTGTGTTAAAGTATTCCTGAATAGTACTACATTTTGGGATTTTTATAAGTTTATAAGGTTAGATAAAAATCACTTGCTTAACCTTTGACTTCTTTTTTTTTTATTTAATAAAGTTTTATTTTTCCAAATGCACAGCTGATTGAACCTGCTCATGCATCTTCACCAGCAGCTGGGGCATCTCCACCTGTTGTGTTTCTGGTATAAATTACTTGGTCTCTGCGCTTTGAAATCAGCTTGATAAGTCCTTTACTCAGTATGTCCTGCAGGGCTGCCCTGGCCAAGGAACCTCGACTTTTCAGTCTCTCAGAGACCACAGCTGGAGTAATAAGCTTAGAGCTGGGAACTTCCTTACATAGTTTGTCACACAGGACTAGACTGTTGAGCTTGTCCCAAACTTTGCCTTTGGACCACTTCTTCATTTCGGCCTTGCCACTAGACTTATTTACTGGGTCTTTTGTCTTTTTTGGCCAACTTTCTGGCATCCTTCTTCTTGTTGTTGTCCTTGGGTGACATGGCGAAGCTCAAAGAGTGGCGACGACCACTGCAGCCTCACTAAGATGTGGAAAAAAGCAATCTTTGACTTCTTAAAAGATGTAGCTGTGGCGCAGCTGTGAGAGGAAAGGTATCTTGGCAGTGGGAGCCAAGGAATACCACAAAGTCACACTGTACCCTCAGCCTCACACAAGAGTTTTGTTGGGAAAGACCTAAGAGGGTGGCCACCTCTGCACCAGAGAGAAGCAGCAAAGAACCTAGCAGAGGCAGGCTTTCTGTTGGGTTTCTTGTGGGGGCCAGCTTTCCAGGGTAGCCTGGAATTGGTTTAGTTTTGTAGCCTGATCTTGGGGCAACCTTACAGATTGATGAGAGAGAGTCTATGGCCTGATCTTGGGGCAAACTCAGGGATTGGTGAGATTTGGAGCTAGGGATTGGTGGGATTTATAGCATAATGGTGGGCTTTTTTTTTTTTTGTCTGGGGGACATGACCACTCAACATGCCTCAAGGAGATGAGGTTGGGCCTGGCAGTGAGAACAGCCTGGAGGCAGGCTGGACACTCACCTTATATTAACTATATAGTATCATCACTACTGTTCATACAATAGTATACGTTTTCTTAGCTACCAACATTCATATCGTATACATGATTTATAGAATTTTTTTTGTATAGGTGCATTTAAGTATGGGCAAAATGTATTATAGCTTGGATCAGTCTCTTTATTCTAAAATTTACGTATTTTAAAAGTAGCAATCACAATGAAATTATAAATATGTATCAGAGACTTAATATTTAAAGTTTCTTTAGACTTAAACTTAAGTTTATCAGATTTATGAATGTATTTTAAGATTAGTCACATAATTTTATTAGCATGGCTAAAGGTCAGTTTTTGTTACTTCTTGAACTCCTGTGATTTTGTTTTCTATTTACTGCTATTTGTTACTTGTTAATCAATCCTTTAGAAACATTGTCCTTTTGTTTCCTTACCCACTATTAGTCATTAACTTGGATCTATTTTCAAAGCAGTGCATCCCAACATTAACTCAACATAGTAAAAAGATGCCTAAGGATTTGGAGGGGAAACGTGTCAACAGAATTCCTGACATTTTTTACACAAGTTTTCCAGACTCTTGTTTCACGCTCCCCTCCTAGGGAAGAATCTGCTGTGGTGACCCACATGTGTAGAATTGTATGGTTTTAAATGTGTTAAGGTAGAAATAGCTTGTTCTTGTTAGTAGCAATAGTTTTTTAATTTCTGCTTTAATAACTTGCTTCCAATAATTCTCAATAAGCAGTGCTAAGTGGTGGCCAATTGTTAAGTGTGTTTACAATGTCATGCATATTAAATTGTTCAAAAAATGGAGTGGTAATTTCACCAGTACCTTTTTGTTTTTGTTCATAGAGATGTATATTTTGTAGTATTTAGAAAGCCTGATAATTGCCTTGAGATATATATACTTAAACAGATCTGTGTATAATGTGTGTGTTTCTGTTTGCACTGCTTATGTCAGCATATCACATTGTGTGAGCCACTCTAGTTGGCGATTGTTATCATTCTCTATATTGACAAGATCTCATTGATTAAGAGTAATTGTAAAAATGGAGCCTTATGAACACATTTATTCCTTCGTTTATTGACAAATTTAGTATATCATTTTACCCACTTAAAGTTTATCATCAATGTATTAACTGTACTCTTGCTCAACTTTAGGCCCTTATGGATTTGTCATGCTAATTATTAAAATAGAAGTGTTTCCAGGGAAGGATATATTAACTTCTCTTCAGGGGCCTATTTCTTTTCCTAGCATAAGTGCTTAAAACAAACACATTGTAATATGTAGCCCACTATGTAACTAAATTTCCTAGAATACCATATATCTTATAAAATTTACCATCGTGGGTAATTTAAGTACTTTTAAACTTCCCTATACTATTGCCTACAGTTTTTGTTATAATAGAGATAAGTATCATATCTATAATATTTAAATATTCTTAATGCACAGTGGTACCAAGTATTATATAATGCTATAAGTTGAGGGAATAAATATCACCAGATTTATTTTTCATAAAACTATGAGACCATTTATTGATGTAAGGGGCAGAAATGTCTAGTATTGGTCCTGCTACTGCCTATGAGACATTTTTTTTTATATAGTTTTCTCTTAGGTGCTTGGGATAAATCTCAGAATTATCTCAAAAGGCCTGTTAGTCACTAATGTTCTGTTAACAAACTAATGCTTGTTATAAAATATATTCCATTTTCTCTGCATAATCTTTAAGCTTGAGTTTATTCTCTCTGCACCCCCCAGCAAGTCCAACCTATTAACTTTTAGGGATTTATATTTATGGAAGCATTTCTTCTCTAGTTGTTAATTTTGGTTCTTTATATGTATTAGTTTACTTTTTCTTTGACAAAATACTTCAGGCACTCACACTCACAAAAGCAAAAATTATAACTATGTATCAAAGATTTAATACTTAATGTTTCTCTAGACTTAAGTTTATCAGATTTATGAATGTATTTTAAGATTATAGTCACATAATTTTATTAGCGTGGCTAAAGGTCAATTTTTGTTACTTCTTGAACTCTTGCAATTTTGTTTTATATTTACTGCTATTTGTTGCTTGTTAATCAATCCTCACACTCAGACTTACTAAAGGAAATTTTTTGACTCATAGTTTGAGGTTGAAGTTAATCATAGTCAGAAAATTATGACAGGATTCATGGCTCTAACTAAGGGAGGAGAGGGTACATTCTGGACCCATGAAAGATTAGGAGGCAAAAAACAGTAGAACTAAGCTATAAAATTTCAAAGCTTACCTGGCCCACTCCCCTGATTCTTGCCAGTGCTTTCTAAATTGACTATTTTTTCTTTAAAGCAAAACAATAACAAAACACATAAAATTAGAAAACTTTACAACCTATTCCAGTGACCCATTTCCTAAAGTGAAACTCTACTCCTAAAGATTCTACAACCTTCCAAAATACTACTATTAGGTGGAAACCAAGAGTTCAAACACAGGAGCCTTTTGGGGGGGGTTATATTTCACATTCAAAATACAACAGTACGTTTATTTAAGAGTTGAATTTAGAGTTATCTGCAGCTGGAGAAATGGCTCATTGCTTATGAGCACTTGTTGCTCTTGCCAAGGACCCAGCACCCACATGGTGGCTCACAACCATTCCTATTTCCAGTTCCAGGGAATCCAACACCCTCTCCTGAACTTCAGGCACAGCATTTACATGGTGCATATGCATATGTGCAGGCAAAATCATAGATAAAATAAATCTATAAAAGAAAAGAATTTAGAAAGTTATTATTTGGCAGTTTCCTCTGTACATTTAATAATTTGAAGTTTCCTTGTGGTTCCTGGTTTTTTGATTGATTGATTGATTGATTGATTGATTGCTTTTGAGACAAAAGTGTCTCTCTGTTATGTAACTCTGGCTGTCGTGTAACTCACTATGTAGACCAGGCTGACTTCGAAACCATAGAGAGCCACCTGCCACCTGAGTGCTGGAGTTACAGGTTGGCCTCACCGTACCCAGCTAGGGCTCCTCATTTGAACCATGGAAATAAAATATTTATATCAATGCTCCTTCCTATGCTGTGTTCCATAAGTGCTTACAAACACAAACAGAAACACTATGCATAGCTTGAAAATTAAAAGCACTTATTTACTAAGTTGTTTTTAGAACCTTCAGGTATCAAGGTATTAAAGGCTTTGTACAGAATTGCATTTATGTCTTTTTCACTGATGCCTTGCCTGACTCCTTTGAAGTTTCTCATGCTTTGTTGCTTCTATGTTGACTTCCTCGAGAGTATACTGTAGCAGTCTCAAATTCAGTATTTCTGAAGCTGTGCTTAGTCAGCTCTGTTAGCTCAAGTATCTGGTTTCTCCTAATGATGCTTCCATTCTCTGCAAAACCTGCTTATTTTGGATTAGTCACATATACTCACTCTCATTCCTTACTTCTCAACTCTTCCTTTTTTTTCCTCATTGCATCAAATTAATTCCACTCATTAGCAGAACAGGACTTTTCATTGTCTTTTCTGGTCATCTCCCTCCATTGTTGTTTTATTGTTTGAGACATGCTTTTATGCAGCCCAGGCTTGATTCTTTGTAGCTAAGGATGACTTTGAACTTTGCTCTCCTGTTTCCACCTCCTAAATTTAGGGTGCCCCAGGCCTTGTCATCTTTTTATCTGTTTTGGTTGCTCTCTAATACCAAGTGCTGTAACTCTTTACGTTTGTGTTTTTCAAAACTTCCTTAAACAGGAAAATCTGGAACTTAATAAATAATAATTATCTAAAGCTATTTGTGACATAATAGTTGTGCCATTAAGAAAGTAACTAGAAGGAAAACAGGAAGTCCCCAGTGTCAGGATTTAATAGGAAATTAGAATGAAATTGGAGGGAGAATGGAGCACCCAAGGTCATATAGGTTGAAGATGGCAAAATAGTTATCTTTGAACTTGAAGAGGCTTTAGAAAATATTTTGTATTGCATCATTTTGATTTGGTTTGTGTCCTTCTTAGGGTTACTATTGCTGTAATGAAACACCATGACCTGTAGTGGTGGTGGTGAAAGAGGGAGGGGGTGAAGAAAGAGTGAGAAAGACCATGACCAAAAGCAACTTGGAGGAGAGGGTTTATTTCAGCTTAAACTTCCAGGCAACAGTCCATCACTAAGGGAAATCCAGCAGGAACTCAAGCAGGACAAGAGCCTGGAGACCAGAGCTAATGCAGAGGCCATGGAGGGGGGCTGCTTACTGGCTTGCTTCTGCCTGCTTTCTTCTAGAACCCAGGACTACCAAGGCAGGGATGACACCACCCAGGGCTGGGCCCTCCCCCAGCAATCACTAATTAAGAAAATGCCCTACCAGTTTCCTTACAGCTGGATCTTATAGAAGCATTTTCTCAACTGAGGCACTGTCCTCTCTGATGACTCTGTCTGTATCAAGTTGACATTAAACTGGCCAGGACAGTTTGATTTAGCTTTTGGTTTTTTGAAGGTCTCATGTTACTTAGGTTGAGCTTGAACTTGATCCTCCTTTTTGCACCTCCTTAATCTTCGGAGGACAATTGTATGCCACTTATTTGACTTTCTAATAAATCTTTTATCAAAATTATACAAGCTATCCTTTACAGATAGAACATTGTAAACTGAGTCTTTAAAGCAGTTAAATGATGTGGCCAGTCATCAACCACTGAATCATTTGGGAGGTGTGGAATGGATCTTGAATATTTTGGGTTACTCCTTTTCTTCTGACACTGTGAACTGAAAATGCAGACTAGGAGAATAGATGAGTTGAGATCATTTCATGTGCCAACAAGTGTTTGAGAGACATAAAACCACATGAACAAAATACCCAGTTCTCCTTCTTCTTGCATAGCTAATGAAGAATAAGTAAACAATATTTGCAGTGCTTTGTTTGAGAAGTTTGTTTGTTTTAGTTTTTCGAGACAGTGTTTCTCTGTATAACAGAGCCCTGAACTCACTTTGTAGAGGCTGGTCTAGAACCTCAGAGATCTACATGCCTCTGCCTCCTGAGTGCTGGATGAGAAGTTTTAAAACTAGCTTTTCTAAACCAAACTCTGTGAAAGGAAAACAGCTAAGTTTGTATAGAAAAAAATTTACGTTTCCCAGCCTTATGTCCTAGAGGCTAGTAGGCTGAAGTACTTTTTAATGCCTTTCCTTCCAATGCTCAACAGTACTTTAAGCTATTTCCTAATGATAAAGGTAGCATACAAGCAGATTCTCTTCATGCTGCAAATAAGGTCACCTTACTGTCACTGACTATGAGGTTCTCTGCAGATGCCAGCTGGAACAGTGGTTCCCTCGGCCATGCTAACCAAACTCATCTGAGAACCCTTGCAAAGCAAACTACCTGTTTGTCACACTCGGGTTTAGACAAGGTCAGCATGCCTCCAACAGTGACTTACCTGTCTTCTGTACATGCATGAATGCGTGCAAATGCACACACACTCACACACACTCACACACACACACACACACACACACACACACACACACACACACCTTTTGATCCCTCAGTGAGTAAAGCCCATACTTCAGCATATCCTTTTAGAAGATTCCCCTTACCTGAGAGAAAAATACAAATTTCAGTCCCAAAGAATTATATTCATTTGTGAGTAAAGAAGAACATAAAATTATTTAGAAGAAATCTCAATTTTGATTACACTTTTACAAAATGAGAACCTGTAAGACATTCACATGAGATCCTAGATGAGAACCTGGGCAAAACTTAAGGATAGACACTGTGTACATTTGACTGCTTCATCTCGTGAGCTGTGTGACTGAGTCCATTCAGGATCTAGACATGGTTAAAAATGAGTCAGACTATATCTGAATCCAGCTATGTTGCTTACCAGCTGGAGAACTGAGTCCCATTCTGTAGACTCTGTAGGCCAATAATGCCCCTGTCACACAAGGTCATTAATGTTAAGGTGAGAATGTGTATTTCCAGTACTTAGCATAGATGATGATATGTATTGCTGTGAGGATCATAATCCTCTGAAAGAATCTCCATGACAAATTGTGAGGCTGTCCTATATTCTTCCTAATGTTTTTAGACATAGTGGACAGTCTTGAACGTGTGGCCATTAGAAAAAACATGTAGCTCCTGTAAAGCCAGGAGAAACCTCAGTAGTGAACAAGTCATGATATTGATCCACGTGTTTCTGAGAATCAAATTTTTTGACAAATTGTATAGTGGAATATACCCAGTTTATTTATCAGTAAGCAGGTCTCTCTTATTTTGAAGGATATTGAAAACAGCTTTGTCTTCGACTTGCAAATGTGAATTTAACTCTACTATTTCACAGAATAATGGTGGGACAAGTGAAAACTTTTGTCTGAACGTCCAGGTAGTAGTGGCTAAATTCACAGTGTGAACTGTGCCCCTCGTAAAAAAGAAAGCTGTGTAGGCCAGGTGTAGTGACACCCCCCCCCCCCCACAACCCCATCATTCTGGAACCTGGCACTGGAAGACTGAGTTCAAGGCCAGCCTGGGATATATTTCAGGCCCTTGTCAAGAAAAGAAGAAAAGAAAAATCAAGAGAAATTTTTAAAGTTTAAGCATTGAAGGTTTATTTGGGTACAGCAGATTGACAAAATACTTAAGAATTTGTTTTTAAAATTGAAGATTTACTTTCTTTAGCCCAAGAAACTCATTATTAGTAAAACAAGAATTCCCAACCTTAAAAATAAAAAGTCATTGCTACCTGGTGCCTCCTACTATTTAAAATACATTTACATTTTAATATAAAATTTTGAATTACATTTAATTTTACATTAAAATGTATTTACATGCATTGTATATATTGCTATATTTTCATTATATCAGTTATAACTTATGCCAGTTATAACCACTTAATTCTTTAATGTGTAACATGAAATAACTTAATCAAGTATATAGTTGTGAGTTTAAAAAGAAAAAAACTTTTTTAGCTTTTAGTAAAACATGGAGGAGACTTGTTTGCCGAAAATGAAAATAAAGATACTCCTTGTGATTGTGCGGAAAAGCAACACCACAAAGACCTGGCCCTCAGTCTGGAGTCTCAGATGGTGTTCTCTCGGGACCCAGAGGCTGAAGAGATAGAAGCTGAGTATGCTGCGTTAGACAAACGAGAGGTAAGATGATTTTTTTTTTTTTTTTTACTTAAATTGCTTTCCTTTAAACTCAATGTGGGTGATCATCTTTGTAGTATGCTAAATACCTCAGCAGTACTTAATCCATAGCAGTGAGCATAAAAATACATCTAGAAAACCTGAATGTTGGGTCTTTCCTCTAACATGTAAATAAACTTGTTGTGCTTAAGTCGTGTTTACTCCTATAACCTCGTGGCTCTAGTCTCTTTTCAGTCATTCCCTCTATTACAGGTTGTTCTTGACAACACAGAAGCCTTGATAACTCCCACGTAAAACACAAAACAAAAGACAAATTTAACAACTAAAAAACCCCACCCCTGACTACTCTTCATCATCCCTATCCCGTTTTGTTGTAATATCACATCCCTGATCTTTATAGGAAAAAACAAAAACAACAAAACCAGAATAGTTTGTCCCTACCAACACCCTTTGTGTCTCCCCTTCCTTCCCCGGGGTTAGGCCCATCTCTTCTGGACTTGACCTGGAATCACATAGTGTCAATTTTCTATTTCTCCTCATCTTTCTTGAAGACCTCACAGTACTTCAGGCACTTGGCCTATTGCTTTCCTGAAGAAATACCTCTCTTGCCTTCAGATATTTTATTGCTTTTCTTGTTTCAGTAAACATTACTTTGATCTACAAGTGGTTCAAGCATAAATGTGGCAGACATTCTTGATCCTTCATATCTCCTTAATCATTGTATATTACATGCAAACCAACATGTTCACTTCACGTCCCAGCTGTTGTCACAGCTCTTCACTGATTTCCTTCCCTCCATTCTGCTTTCTTTGGAATCTGCTTTGTACACAGGAGACAAAGTACTTTAAAAAAAAAAAAAAAAAAAACTTAAATTATCTATTACTTAAACCATTTAGCAACTGTATAACTTTCTTTTTACTATAGAAAAACGCTTCAGGCAAGCTGAATGTTTGTGTCTGAACACACACACACACACTTATTTTACTTAGTTCATAGTATCAGAGGCTGAAAATCCAGTCAGCAAATTCTGGCAAGGGCCCCATGACAAATGGCAAAAAGTGCACAAAAGCAAAGATCACAGCTTTATACAGAAATCAGGGAACCAGAGGGAGACGAGTTCTACATCTCTTGCCTTTAATTGCCTGAGTGCTTGCTCTTTGGCCCTAACAGTTAATGTTCCACACCAAAACTGTGTGCACTGATGCCATACAGTATGATGTTTTGACATATACACAGTGTGGAATAATTGAATCAGGTCAATTAACATAGCTATCGCCTCACCAAACACATGTTAGTTTTGATGCTGGCAATTGAACACAGGGCCTCATGCATGCTAAGCATGTATTCTTTCTTTGTGCCACAGCCCAACCTTCTATCATTTTATGTTAATAAACCTGAAATTCCTCAATACATGCTCTATAATGCTGAATATATTTAATCTGCTGTGCTGTAGATTTAAAACCTTTCTTTTTCATTCTTCTGAAACTTCATTCCCATCATGTATTTCACATCTGTTATTGTATGCTGTAATTATTTTGTTTTCTCTTTTTATTATGTTTTTCTATTAGATTAAGGCTAGGACTGTATCTGCTATTTTCAACAGAATATTATAGTGTCTGATACTGCTTGTATGAAATAGAAAGCCATAGATAATTCTTAAATAAATTATACCACAATAAATTTTTTTCTTCCCTAAATAAACCTGATTTTTCAGTGTTAAGTGTGAACTTTATTCTAACAGGAATCTCTTAAGTATTGGCTTGGATGCATATCATGTACTTATTTTATTGTTCTCGTGAATTCTCAAAAATTTCTGAACTTTTGTACTTCTCACAATGGCCAAAAGAACTGAGTTCCTGGAATTAATGTTTCCACTTCTTAACTTTTTTGTTTGTTTGGTTAGATTATTTCGTAGACTCCTTCTTTTGGTTTAGGCTAATATGGAAAAAAAAGGGGCCTTCTGTCCTGAGCATTTGCTGACCCTTTCACATGGTTTGATCCACACAGGCTTCAGAAATCATTTAAGTGAGTTGTCACAATCAAGTGAGATGACCCTTATTCTTCCTACTATTTCAAACCCAAGAACCTCTGTCTCCCATTTGCCAGTCCATGATTTTTGAGTCACACAGTAATCGGTACTATAATACAATCATTTAGTGAGGACATTTTAGTAGTATTCAAAAAATAAAGTTGGTGTGATGTAATGGAAAGTGACTTTTTATTAATATTTTTATTTTTTTTTTTTTTTTTTTTTTTTTTTTTTCTTTCCTCTCATGGTACTATCTTAATTTAATTCCTAATTAGAAAGTAATAGAACTTAGTGGAGGGGACAAAATATAAGATAAAGGAATTAATAAAAATTACTAACAGGTTTATATCTAAGTGAATTTAGTTTAACTATAGTAAACTATTATGTTGAGTTGGACAAAAGTTACATAACATCCAATACTAATTTTATGGAAAAAACTTTCATAAATGGTAAAGATCACAATATGCCAAAATGATACATGTAGTTACAGACAAATGTCTTTACCATCATTTTTTATTTTTATGGAATTCTGAAATTATTTGTCTCTGTTTTCTTTTTATTTTTCCTTGATATAGTATATACTAGCCTCCATTTCCCCTCTCTCCACTCCTCTCCTGTGTACCCTCCCCGCACCCTCTGGAATCCACTGCTCCTCTGTTTCCCATCAGAAAAGAACAGGCCTCCCAGGAATATCAACCAAACTTGGCATAAGTTACAGTAAGATGAGGAACATCCCCTCTTATTAAGGATGGATGAGGCAACCCAGTAGGTGGAAAAGGGTCCCAAGAGCAGGCAAAAGAGTCAGAGACACCCCAACTCTTATTGTTAGGAGTCCCACAAAAACCTAAAAAAGCACAACATATATTCAGAGGACCTAGCACAGACCCATGCAGCCTTTGTGATTGCCTCTTCAGTGTCTGTGAGCCCCTGTGAAGCTTGCTTAGTTGATTCTGTGGACCATGTTCTCCTGGTTTCCTTGACTCCTCTGGTTCCTATATCCTTCCTCCCCTTCTTTGCAGGATTCTCTGAGCTCCACCTAATGTTTGGATGTGGGTCTCTGTATCTGATCCCATCAATTACTGGATGCCGTCTCTCTGATAGTGATGGACGAGGCACCAATCTATGAGTATACCAGAATATCATTAGGAAACATTTCATTGATTATTTTTTTCCACCCTAGGTCTCTGAGCTATCCAGCTCTCAGTTCCTGGCCATGCAAGCAGTGTCAAGCATGGACCTCAACTTAAACCAGTCATTGGTTAGCCACTCCAACAACCTCTGAGCCACCATTGCCCTAGCACATTTAGGAAGGACAGGTTGCAGGTCAAAGGTTTTGTGGCCCAGTTGATATCCCAGTTACTAGTGGAAGACTTGCCTGGTTACAGAAGATGGCTGGCTTTGGCTCTGTGTCTTCCATTACTAGTAATCCTCACTAGGGTCACCCTCATAGATTCCAGGTAGTTTGCACTGTACTATATTTCCACATCACTTCCTAAATGACCCCCAATTCCAGTAATCTCCTGTACTCTCTCCCCTCATGCCTCTCTCTTCAACCTAATCCGTCCTGTTTCTCTCCCTACCCACCCCCAGTCCACCCATAAAATCTATTTCCCCTTCTCAGGGAGATCTGTATGATCCCCCCTAGAGCTTTCTTTCTTAACTTAGATTATCTGAGTCTGTGGATTATAGTGTGATTAACCCTTACTTAACAGCTAATATCCACTTATAAGTGATTACCTACTATGTTTGTCTTTCTAGGTCTGAGTTGCCTCACTCAGGATGATTTTTTTTCTAGTTACATCCATTTGCCTGCAAATTTAATGATACCACTTTATTTTTTTTTTAAACAGTTGAGCAATACTCCATTGTGTTCAACATTTTCTTTATTTATTCTTTGGTTGAGGGACGTCTGGGTTGTTTCCAGTTTCTGGCTATTATGAATAAAACTGGTATGGGCATATTTGAGCAAGTGTCCTTGTGATAGGATGACGCAGTCTTTGGGTATATGCCCAAGCGTAGTATACCTGGATCTTGAGATAGATCGATACCCAATTTTCTGACAAATGACCATATTGATTTGAAAGTAACTATTCAAGTTTGCACTCCCAGCAGCAATGGAGGAGTGTACCCCTTGTTCCACATGCTTACCAGCATGAGCTGTCGCTTGTGTTATTGATCTTAGCCATTCTTACAGGTATAAGATAGGATCTTGAAGTAGTTTTGATTTTAATTTCCCTGATGGCTAAGGATGTTGGACATTTTGTTGGGTATTTCTTGAATCTGTGTTAATAGGGGGAATTGGTCTATAATTCTCTTTCTTTGAGTCTTCATGTGGTTGTGCATCAGGGTGGCCTCACACAATGAATTCAGCACTATTCCTTCTGTTTCTGTTTTGTGGAGGGTTGGCTTTAACTCTTCTTTGAAAGTCTGGTAGAATTCTGTGCTACACCCATCTGGCCCAGGACATTTTTGGTTTGAAGACTTAATGACTGTTTTCTATTTCTTTTGGGTTAGGGTTTATCTTGATTTAACTTTGGTGAGTGGTATATATTGATAAATGGATAGAGAAATTATCTTTTTTTTTTTTTTTTTTTTTTTTTAGATTTTCCAGTTTTGTGGAGTATAAGTTTTTGAAGAGTGACCCAAAGATTCCTTGGATTTCTTGTTATGTACCCCTTTTTGTTTCTCTTTTGTTAATTTGGATATTCTTCCTCTTTCTTTTAGTTAGTTTAGATAAGGGTTTGTTGACTTCCTCAAAAAACTAACTCTTAGTTTCACTATTTCTATTGTTCTTTTTGTTTCTGTTTTATTGATTTTAGCCCTCAGTTTGATAATTTCTTGTCTTCTACTTCTCCTGGGTATCTTTGCTTCCTTTTGTTCTAGAGCTTTCAGGTGTGCTATTAAATTGCTAGCATGAGATCTGTCTTAATTTTTTTTATAAAGTCACTTAATGCTATGAACTTGCCTCATAGTA